TCATAGCACTGATTCGTAACATGCTTACTGTTCTTAACTATTTAACTATTGAACTTACTTTGAGGTTTTATTTTTAACATTTAAAACTGAACAGTTTCTACCCAACTATGTATACAGTTCTTCCTGTAAATATTCTTTTTACCTCCTTCCATGATTGCCTGTGGCCAATCTGCAAGTTTGAACAGACAAGTACCTACACTTTGTGGTACTATTCATCACACTTCTAATAAACAGCCAAATCACAATTATCACTGATGTGGGAAAGGACCTCTATAGACTGCCTAGACCAACTTCTTCACTCAAAACAGGTTCAGCTAGATCTGACTGCTCAAGGCCATGTCCAGTCATTATCCACCAATCTTGGAAGAAGTGAGCCTTTCCATTAGAGCCTGCGATCAGGAAGGTACTGGCAACCTTAGCCTCTTCCATGTGATATATCATCATCAGATCCCCTGTTCTATTCAGCAGGGGCCTCACATTCTCCTTAGCCTTCCCTGTTGCTTCTAGCATACTCACAGAAACTCTTTTGATTGTCCTTCATGTCTTTTACCAGCTTCACCCAAAGCTCTGGCTTTCTTAACCTCATCCTTGCATGTTCACACAAGTGTCTCTATATTTCTCCTGAGTGATATGACTTGGCTTCAACCTCACACTCTTCCTCTGCTCACATTTAAACTTCCATAGAAGCTTCTTGTTCATAGACCTTTCACCACTTCTGTCCAATACCATACATGTCAACATAGATTATTCTTGAGCTTGGAGAAGTGAAACTTTTTTTTTTTTTTTTTTTTAAAAAAAAAAGTTTTCCCAGAACTCTCTTCTTTCCAGGAAAGTCTCCCATGGGATTGTTCCAAGCAGATCCCTTAATAAGCCAGACTCTGCTCTCTAGAGATCCAGGGTTATTATTTGCCTTGCTTCCTTCTCTGAAAATTCTGAAATCCACCACCACTTCATATTTACTGCAATGAAGATTTCTCCTAACATCAGCTCTTCCTTATTTGTAAGAACCAGGACCAAAGCTCCACCCCTTGCCAGCTGTTTAATTGCTTGTTAGGAGCTTATCAAGACTGCACACCAGAAAACAGCTGACTTCTTGTGTCATGCTCTTTCCAGAAGATGGCAAGAGGGTTGAAGTGCCATGTGAGGACTACCAGCTTCTTCCAGCTGTCTAAGGAAAACAACATATCCCACATTTTCTCAACCAAGCAGTTTATAATAAATACTCACCATGATGTCACTCATTGGTTCACCCTCTAATCCTAAGCCCATTAAGTCTCAACTGAGGGAGAGCTTCATATATTCCAGCTACCATTCTCTCACTACAAGAGCAACTCTCCCTGCTCACCTTCCTGGTCCACTCTTTTCAACAGTATATGGCTGTTTCCATATACTGTGGCACTCTAGTCACATGAGCTTATCTCTGTGATCCCAATGATGCAATTCAATTGCACACAGATTTCTAATTCCTTGTGTTTAATCTCAGTGCTGCATACACAAATACTTCAGAGGTACTTTGCTGGAGGAAACAGGCCAAGAAGTGAGATAGCAGTAAAGTAGTAATGCTCTGCTTGTCAAAATGATTGCAAATGCTTCTGAAATGCAACTGAAATGTACATTTTAGTATTGCTCTAAAATCACTGAAATAAGATCTAAACAAAAGGTACATATTTGGTACAGTAGCCCACGGCCCTAGTCCCAGTAAACAAGAACTACTGGCATGCTATCAAAAATACCAAACTGCACAGAAACAGTAATGCAGGTCTGCTTACACCACAAATAAAGCCTGAAAAGTTAAGAAACTGTGTAATGTGTAATATGTATGTTGAGTGTCCCTGCACCACAATGTCTGCATTGGCTGTAGCATGAGCTTCAAATTATCCCACAAACATTGTAGCAAAATGGTAGCCAGGAAGAAAACTCCATCCCAAATTCTACCTTTCCTGAACTACCTTGAGTAAGAAGTACATGAGCACAGCGATATGACTGGTATCACTGCCTGTTTCAGGGAAACCAAATGGTACATGCAGGAACCCTATTTATGAAAAGTCAAACATATTTATGTATGAGAAGCTGTAGTCAGCAAGCATTTATGCTTTAGCTTCACATTATTAATGCTGGCAAAGAACAGCACTCAGCTTCTGCTCTTCTCCAGTGTATTTCTGTTTCAATATACATATCAATATTAATTTCTCCTGCTGAGTTACTGTCATATCTAATGAGCAAACACATGATATGTGACATGTAAAAAATCAAGGGCATAAAAAGACATTCTCTCTAATTAATTCAGATCACTAATAATAAATTTTAAAATGGTCACAATTAAAAAAATCATATCCCATAATGCTGCACAAAACTTACGCGATGCACAAAACCACATACCTTATCTCGCTCCCCGCCACAAAAGATAGTTGCCCAATTGTTAAACTTCTCATTTAGAAATCCCATCAATAACTAATCAATGGAGCTATACCAAAAGATATAATCACAGTATCAGAAAGAATGTAAATACAACCTATCTACTTAACTATAAGCAGAACGTTTGTGACTCATGGTGGTGGTAAGTTGGTTGGTTCCACAGACACATATACAGAAACACCATCTTCTCCAAAACGTTCACATTTTATCGATCACACTGACAGTACTTAGTAATAACAACTCCCTCTACACAAGAACCCTCTAAATCATGGGAATCCAATGTTTTGGATTCTCTGGACCACACTGAGTTCAGAGGAGTTTTCCTGGGCCACGTATGAAATACGTAATGTACTTAATGTACACGAGTCACCCCAAAAGAGATGCCTCCTGGGGCCACATATAGCTCTCCAGGACTGCACATGACCAGTGGGCTGGACATGCCTGTTCTACTATAATCAACAATATTTTTAAGCTAAGAAGATGAACTGCAATTTAAATTAATTCTAGGTATTTCCTTCCTACTAATGGCTTCAATCTCAAATTAAACCTGAACTGTATTGCTGCCAGTTTTCATAAATGATCACAGCACTCATTGTTTTCTCAGGAAGCTAATAAGGCGCCAGTGAGCACAGTCCCTTTCAAAACAACACATAGGCCAAGCCTCAATCCATTGGTCACACCTGTATTTGCAAATATCACATTCTAGCAAACAACTTACAAAATGAAACAATAAAGCACAGAACTTCCCATCCACATGACATCTGTTATACAGATGTTTTATTTCAGATTAGCCTTTCATCCCATGGTCTGAACACTCATTTGAGTTTCTGTGCATTAGTGTACTTCTGGAATGTGTCCTCCAGTTCTATCTGGTACAAAAAGAACTCAATCTACATCTCTGAAATTATTTTATAATGTGAACCAAAGCACAGTAAAGGGTTGCAACCAAACGCGATTCAAAGGCATGCTCCTGATTCAAAGCAAAGCACAAAGGAAGAGGCACACAATAAAGTCACGGAGAGCACTGTCATTCCCTTCAACAAGAAGGGAATGGGACTTCGTTCATGTCCCTGTCGTTCCGTTTTTATTGCCCTCTCATCTTTCAGTCTAGGTTTATAATACATGAAGAGAATAGTAGAATCAATAAATGCAATGAAAGAGCAGTTTATTAAACACAGGAAAACTTTGCCAATGTGATTTTTTTTTTTCAATTGTTTACATTTACTCAGATCTCAGGATTTTCTTGTTTTGACATTCAAGCCCTAAGAATTAAAGCAATGGGATACAGTTGGTATTTCTAGATGCGTGTTCATAAATGCCTTCCGCAGTTAGAATGTCAGCCCCAGCTGACTACTCATGAAAGCAGTACAGTTCTGCAAAGGCTGAACAATTTTTCCACATTCACTAAGTTGTATATCAGAGCTTTAAAAAGCACATCAATGATAGCAAGGTGACGTATATGCATCAGATCTTTAATATCCTTTTGTCCAAAGTACTTTTCTTCAAACATACTTCTCCTCACTCTTGCTGATACGTAGGGGAAAGAAACATGAGGCAGTATAGGGCAGTGCATGAACTGAACGTGTAAAGTTAATACAGAAGGAATATTTTATTATTTCTGGGCATGAGGTTGTTAAACAGCCACTTCTGCATTATCTAAACCATACTCTTGTGTTGGAGGAGAATCTCCTTTACATGATACATACGTCTCATTCTTCTAAAAAGCATTTATCTTGTCATTTGTTATATACATAAAAATGAGTAGGTGATTTTGTATACTTACTCTGTAGCATGGACATGACATGAAATTCAGACATACATTACGAAGACAGTATGTATGACATTAAGCTAAGCCATTTAATAACACTTAATATGGTCAAAAAGCAAGTGACAGAACTTTGTTCAGATTACATAGGTAAAACAAATCTTTTAGCATAGTCAACTCTCACATAATTTAAGCCACATCTTTTCTACGGGAGAGCCTAGATACCACCTCTCTCATACCCTTTACTGAAGCCATAGGAAATGCTAACACTTCTGCCAAACCACAGGATGCATCCAACCTATCTACCCTTTCAAGAAGCATACTCAGTATTTGCAGTCTTCAGCAGGTTTTGGAGGACAGGTTAAAAAGAAAAGCCTTCTTTTTTGTCCCTGTCTTTAATAGATGCATCACCAATTTATGCTGTGAAAATCTTCCAGTCATTCTCTCTCTCTCTGACACCAGAGCTGTAGCCTCAGCAATCAGTAAGATACCAATTAGAATATATGCGAGATTTTTTTGTTTTTCAAAAAAGGAGGACTTCTAAGAGCACAAAGACCATGCAGAACAAAGCTTTACAAAATTGTGAAGTTTATAGGGAAATAGAAACTACAGGAAACGTGTACCATAGGCTTCCTATTTGCTCTGGTTAATACGCAGTCTGCAACGTCACTAGTACCTTTTCCCCAACTCTTCTAGGAGATGCAGAAATCTGTGTAGCTCATCAGGTTAACTGCCTATGCAGCCTCCCCCTCCACAACTTTCCAAATACATACATTTGCTCAAGTTTCACTGACTGACAGACATTCTCAGAATCACATACCTTTATGATGTTCTCCTCAGTATGCTCTGCAGAGTCTTTACATCATCCAGAAAGAGCGATGGCTTCAAGCACAACTGAATCCTTGTGGTGAAAACCACTACAGTTAGCACAGATGTCACCTGGCCACCTCTATTCCTAGCCAGAGGTGGTAGGCCTGAAAGATGGGGTATAAAAAAAAAAAAAAAAATGCAGTGACTAAAATAACAGTCCAAACAGCAGAGGGACCACATGCACAGCACAAACACCTCTCTGCAATCCCCAGCCACAGGAATCCTTGGCCCATTACCTCTGCAGCAACCTCATCTCATTCTCTAGGACAGAGGAAAAATGAATCTTTAATTACAGACCCCCATTCACGTTCAATAATTGAGGAGCGTTTCTTCCTGCCTTTGCTGTTTGCCCACGCTTTTCCTGCCACTACTGAATGGCTATTTTTGTCTTTTTGAAGCTTCCCTCACCTGTACCACACAACTGCTGCCCACACTGTTTCTCACAGCAGCTGCTTCTAACTGGCTGCTTAGTCACAGCTGGAAGACATAATTAGGTCCAACATTAAGCCTCTTCAGCTGCTGCTGAATATAAAGCATATATTTTCATCCTGCAAGAACTATTGGTAGATCTTAATGCAAAGTGCATGGAGGGTCTGTGAAACACCTAGTCAAATTCTGCTAAGGTACTCTGCAGGTTTTTTTATTAGTGCAAAATGAGAAGAGATTTTGGGTCTCATTCCTACGGTAGTCTGGAATTAGATTGAATTTTCATTTCCAAATCCTTGTGTACATCACACTTAAAAAAACCATTTCTTTAGGTGCATCTAGGCATCCTGAATTTTCCCTGCAAGAATGAGTGCATATAGAGTTCCATGATGCACCTACAACAGATTTCTAGTAATGACTACAAAAACAAAACATGGCCAACAACAAAACCAACTGTGTAACGTGCAAGCGTGCTCAAAATTACTGGGAAAAAATTAGAACAGATTAATTCTTACAAACAACTCATTTCTACATTACGTATTTCAGCAAAGTTGTAGCATTTAACCACAGCATTACTATCTCTTTTAAGAAAACGGCTTAAGGATACTAAAAGGTACTTTCTACAGCTTCACGCAGAAGTTACACTCTGTTTCCTTAAAAAAAAAAAAATCACAAGATGAATTTGCATTCTTCCAGTGCTTGGCCAAGGAAAATTTCATTAAGGATGCAGAACTGTAAGAATGCAAATCATGCACTGCAGTGATTTTGCTGAGATCTTACTATTCATAATTATGATGAATGCCTTCTTAAAATTGTTCTGATATATGTATGTACTTCATTAAGGGTGGCTGCTTTTATAAATAGTCATTGAAATGCCATATCCAGTTTTATGTTTTCTAAAAGCCTCAGAGCTCTATAATATTCATCCAGCCAGGACTCATCACTAGGAATAAATGATTTTTACAGGAACAATTGAACAAACCTAATCCAAATTCCACACCTGCTTTCAGACAGCATGTTCTTCTGAAAGCCTCTTCTAGAGCTGCTGGGGCAGTTAGAATTAGGATTGTTTTTGCCAGCGCTCACAAAGAGTCAGCAGCGATGACTATCAAATACAGTGTCATTTTCAAGTGGGCTCTGAAAGGAAAAGGTTGAATAATAACGCTTTCAGTTTGTATAATGAACGAATGTACAGATGTTATAATTATGGAATATACCAGACAGCATAGCTAAGCATGTTATTATACAAAAGAGAATAGATAGAATGCTTACCACGTCCTGGGCTCACTGTAAAACTTCAAAGGAGGGATCTCCAGAAGAGATCCTTCCCCACTGGTAGCCAGCTCTTAAATAGGTCTAGGAGAGGTGCAGCCAGGCTCCACCCCTTCCGGCAGCACAGGTGAATTGCCTTCACTGTGCTCCCGTGGCTGACTCATGGCTCGCCTCAGGTGATCAATCAGAGGTTCAGGCTGTGACTCAGCAGTTCCCATACACAGCTCCTTTGTCATTTCCAGCAACGTTGATTTAGAAGTGAACATTAAAACAAAACACTTGCAGAACGCACCCATATTATCAGAACTACTCTAGCAGTCTAAGGTCTCCCTGCAGAAGGTATTACAAGTGACAATTTACACAGTACTGTACAGTAATACTGATATTTTAACCCAAGTATGACTCTCAAAGGACAGATAGATGGACTACAAGACATCTTGAGTCATGTCTGCCTCCAATTTATGCAAGGAGCAATTCTTAATAATACTGTGGGCCAAGAATTAAGACACAACAAACCTCTGTTTTTTTTTCCTTCCAGCTCAAGAGGACTTCTCCCTGTTAACTAATCTGTTGAGGCCAATTCAAAACACACTTGACACCACACTGCAGCCAGTCTAAGGATGCATGCAGACATAAAGCCTCATATGCATTCCTCCTCAGTTGTGCTGGAAATAACAGCACATGGGCTGAAAATCTTATTTTTAAATATTAAAGCAGTACATATTTGTAAATCTGCAGGATAACAGTTGTAATCAGATCTTCTGGAAAGAAAGAATGAGAATTTAACAGGCAATAATTTATTTATAAAGAAAACATCATACTGCAAACCATGGTTCTCAGAAAGAAGAAAAATGCTAGTTCCTCTGAATTTCTGACATAGAGAATCATCCGCTGAGATCTGGATGTTTCTAACCTATGTCATAATCATTACATAAAATAATTAAAATTAATTCTTATTCAGAAGAACTGAATAAACTAAGATCACCATTTGCACACACTATTAGGTATTCATCAGAACCTGAAACCAAAACTTTACAAATAATTAACTCAAATGACCTGAAATAGAAAATACTCAAACGTTCTTTAAAGATACTGTCAGAAATCCTTCAGACGAAACCTCTGGATTGGAGTACAGATAATTCTACTGAGAAAAACACCCAAAACATTATATGTTTATTTTGGTGCTTTTAGAAACACTTTAAAAAAAGTTGAGGATAACAAAGTGATGTTACATAAAACCAAAACAAAAAAAATACGGTTATTAAAACCCTCTTCCTATCTTGGTCTCGGAGGAACCTTTCGAACCACACTATCAGAGGTATGATGCTTTTCTGCATCCATAGGAAGTGAAAGCATCTTGTTTGTGAGTGACATTCAGTATGGAACAACATATAAAAGACCTCTGAGATGAAAGATGTTGTGCTGCTATTTTCTTCACTCTAATGAAGTACAAGGAATTAGTAACAGTAGCCAGAAGAATCACAGTACCACAGACTAGCGCAGAGAAGCCATTCAAAGAAAAATAATCAATTATTTCATGCCCCTTGAAGACTACAATTAGTACTCCAGGCTGGTTAAAACCCTACACTTTTTCGAACAGTGTCCCTGTAAAACACCAGATTTCTTGTCAAGGGTTTTCCAATGATGGAAAACAATTCACCAAAAAAAAAGAAAAAAAAAAAAAAGCTATCAGAGGTGCCCACATACATACAAGCTCAAATACACATTGAGCATACTAAGTAACTTATCTCCTGGATGACTTCACATAAAACATACTAGTTGCAATGACTGTAAATTCATAAAGAAGCTAGAAGCTGTAAATCATCATCAACAGGGCAGCTGTTACATACAGCCAATTAACTTGTAACTACTGCTTAATTGTACTTTCACTCTTTTCCTTCCAGGTAGGATATGATGTTATTCAACTCACTATCAGAAGAACTGTATCAAGATGTTCAAAAAGCATCAACAGCAAATTAAAAATTAAGCTATAAAAATAATTCATCTATTTCTGTCTGAGTGATAGTAAATCGTACTTGTTGAGGACAGAATAATATTAATGATTGTTGAAATAATGAAATCTCTTCTTATAAATAAGTACTTGTTTTGTTTTAAAATACTTTTCAAATCTTAGGAATTATTCCTGTTAACTTGCTAGTGTAAAATAATACACTACAGAAAAGACACATTTTTAGAGTGCATGAAGAAATGAGTATGCGATGTATTATTTTATTGTATTTGCCAAAGACAATATAAATCATCTTTATTAAAGTCCTGGATTCAGCAGATATAGCAGCTGAATTATACTTTCTGAAATAGAATCTAATATTGTACAACAAAGAGCCAATCACTGTGCTCACTGAGTAGCTTTTACGTAAAGGAAAGAAAAATAATTGGTAGCAGAACTCTTACCCCCCAAAAAAAACCCCCAAAAAAAAGATCTTTGTGGTACAGACATCCTGTGGTTAATTAGAAACTCTATGTATGATTTCTTTTTTTTTTTTTTTCCCCCCCTCAGCTCCAACCTGCTGCTTCAAAGGCATTTGAACAGTTTTGAGACAGTGATGAACTCCTACGCAGGAAAAGAAAGAATAAGAGAATAATTCTCATACTGAAGAAAAATAATATGGAACACATAGAAGAGAATAAAATCAGATTAATCAGCATCACTTCTAATTACAGCAATAGCAGTCCCATTAAGTAACCTTTGAATGGGACTGCTGAAGCACTAAAACACTGCTAACACTATAGCTACTGTTGCAATAAACTCTTTTATCTCACAATGTGGAGGTGTTTTTCTGTCTGAGAACATAATTTTAGTACCATAAAAACATACTTAATGCTAGGGACCTATGACCTGTACTATGGTGATCACTTATAATTGCAATTATCTCCAAAACTATAGAAAAACGCACTTTTGGAAATCTCTTGCATTTCAATCCTTCTTCTCCTCATATATACCCGTAGCTTCTGATAATGAGCAGCTGTGGAAAGAAATTACCGGACTGGTAGGATAACAGCAATGAAAGGAATATTACCCTAGGTGATTAAAAGCAAAAACCACACACCTGGTCTGAGAGCAGAGGTGCACACTGAGATAAACAGATGTACAAACATGACCAGATTATGCAGTCCTTATTTTCTCTACTTAAAAAAAAAAAAAAAAAAAAAAAAAGTCTCCCAAAAAAACCACACAAAAGCACTTCTGCCTAACAGCTGCAAAATCATATTTCCCAGAAACAGCCTTTCTCCACACATTTACAATTCAAAGCACTGTAATACAATGATTGTATAATGTAAGACCCAATATAAACAACCCAATCCTATTTGTTTTAAAGTAACAGCTTACATCCCCTGAAACAGGGAAGATTTTACAGAAGCTTTTCAATACTCAGCTGGTACACAG